TGTTGTATTTTTGTACTGGTGTCTGTGCTTTTCCCCCTCCAATATATGCAAGAGGTGTATGTGTCTGAGGGAACTGTTCTTGGTCCAATCTGTGCTTGCTGTGTCTGTGTTTCAGGGAGCCACTCTTAGTCCCATTGGACACTCTTGCACCAATTGGAGATAATAGATTCTGTGTCTTAGGGAGCTGCAGAGGTCATGGCAGAATGAGTGAGTTTTAGGGAGGGAGTAAGTCTTGTATATTCTAGGGTCTGATGGGTGTGTTGATGATGACACCTGCCTGCAGGACTCTTCCCTGCTGGCCTGCAACTGTTGCAGTGATGGGGAGGGACATGAGTTATGCCCCAGGGCCTAGGTTCTAGAGACAGAATACTCTGGGTGGGAGAAGAGTCACTCACCTCTTTGTTCCATCAGAGCAGACAGATTCTGTTTCTCTGGAAGGCACTGAGATCACAGGGAGATAGGTAGGTTTGGGAGAGGGAGTGGATCTTGGAGATTGCAGGGTCCAATGGGAGTGTTACTTGGGATTCCTGCCCACTGCAGATTTCCCTGCTGGCCTGCAACCAGGGCAGCCATCACTTGTATATTTTCAAGGATATTGGCTAACCTTTGGTGAGCTCTTCCCTGAGGAAGACTATTCCTTCTGCTCTCAGTATTCCTTATTTGCTATAGTTCTTTGTGTAGGGTTGAGGTCTCTTGAGCTTTCCCTTGTGTATGTTTTCTCTGTGTTCACCTCATATTTAGGCAGCTGTGTTGGTGAGACTTTGAAATTCCCAAAAGTACACCAAGATCAGATAATAAAAGGGATAGTCTGCAGATAATATTCACTGGTTGAGAAAACTGGCTGCTCTTCCAGAGGTCCTGGGTTCAGTTAGCATGCGTATGATGTCTCACAATCATTCAGTTCCAGGGACTGAATGTTCTCTTCTGTCATTGGTGGACTCCAGGCACACAAATTGCACTCAGTCAGACATGCAGGCAAAACAGTTATACACATGAAGTAAAAAAATCTTGAAAAAATAATACTCCTGTATAAGACACAGGTTGGATTCCCAGATCCAGTATGGTGGCTCAAAACCATGGGTAATTCAAGTTACACATGATCCACAGGTCTGATGCTCTCTTCTAGTTTTTAAGTGCACTAGCTACACAATATATGCCCACATTATTATTCATTTTTAATGATTATTTATCATTAAACACTTCATTTAACCTCAGCTGGATTTATTTTTTTTCTTATTTGTTATGTGTGTGTGGTATTGGATAAGTCCACAGAAGTGCAGGAGTCCTCCAAGGTGATGAAGGTGTTGGATTGTAGGGATGGAGAGTTACAGGAGGTTGATAACTACCTGACAAGGGAACTAGAAAAAAGAACTTGTGTTCTTTGTAGTCCCTGATGACTGGTTATTCTTGTCATTTTGTGGTCCAGGAGTTTCGATAGAAAAACAAACCTACTCATCTGCCTGAGCAGAAGGGAAGCTTTAGGCATTCATAGCTGTTGTGATGCTAATAGCCACTAGGAGTCAGCAACACACCCACATCCCAGCCCCAGTGTGCAACCCAAACATGGGTGCTTGGTCTTGTGATTCCTAATTACCACCTAGGTTTTCCACATGGCATCAGATGTGGGAAAATAAGGGAAACCCCACTTTTAAGTGAGAGAAAAATAGGGAAAAGCTGCAGAGAATTTGCAATTTGAGCTAAATCAGAAAACACGAATTTGGTGATGGTTTATAAAGATTGACATAGGTGGGGTTAGTTTGGCAGCCTAAACTAAACTTATAGCAGGTGCTGTCTTTGTTTTTTTTTCTCTTAGCTTTCTAGCTGCAAGAGATTGAACCAAGGTCTCATTAATGCTATGCTAGTGGAAAATGGCTAAGACATGCCACCAATCCCTCACCTGTAGAATCCAGGCAGTGTGCTGCCACTAAGCCATGTCCCCAGTTCTTCACTTGAACAACTCTAGATCTGTGTTCAACTGCTGAGCCACAACCCCTCAGCCACTCATGAGTAGATTCTAGGCAAGTGTTTTAATCCACTAATCATAACATGCACATTTATTTATTAGTTTTGGATCATTTTTATTAAAATTCTTTTAGTATTTGAAAGAAAATTACATCACTTCCTTTTCTCTTTCCTCTGTTTAAACCCTCTCATGTGTTCTACCTTGCCGTCTTTCAAATTCATGGCCTCTTTTATTTTCATTGTTCATATGAATATATTATTCCTAATATATAAGTATAACCTACTCAGGCTGTACAATTTTTTTGTCTTTATATGTTTTTAAAGATTTACCATTTTGTATTAGTTAACCAACTGTTCTCTTCTCCTGGGGAAAACTGGTTTTTCAATTCTCAGAATTCTTTAGTTGCCTGGATTTCTTCATCTATGATTGAGGGCTCTTGAGATTTCCACTCTACACACTATCATTTCCACTGGTGTTGTTCCAATCTGTTAGCCTGAAGCCATATGTAGCAAATGTAGCAGTAAGTCTTTGGGGTCGAGATCTGTTACAACAGTGGAATACCCAGATTAAAATTCTTACTCTTTCAGAAAAGGAATACAGATGAATGCTTGTTTCCACCAATAATATCATGGCATGCTTTAAAAATCAGTCACCAAGCATTTAGGCTGTACACAAACAGAGCACCATTGCTGATGAACTCTCAGAAGTACCAACTGCCTTACCTTTAAAATGGCTAACTAATAAACCTGTCTGGGTTGGACAATGGCCTTTGACAAAAGAGAAGCTACAAGCTTTAGAACAGCTGGGAGAGATTAATGTGCTCAACACATTGAAGAATCTATCAGCCATTGGAATTATCCTGTATTTGTTATTAAAAAAAAAGTCTGGTAATTGGAGAATGCTGACAGATCTGAGAGCTATTAATAAAGTAATTCAGCCAATGGGCTCCCTACAAACTGGGATGCCTTTGCCCTCTCTGCTACCCAAAGAATGGCCTATATAGTTATTGACTTAAAAGACTGTTTCTTTACCATACTCTTAAAAGAAAATGATAGAAAAAATCTTGCCTTCACAGTACCTAATTATAACAATTCTCAGCCAGTCAAGAGATATCAATGGAAGGTCCTCCCACAGAGAATGTTAAACAGCCCTACCTTGTGCCAATACTTTGTGAAAAAATCATTGGAAATAATTCATGTAAAGTTTCTACAATCCATAATTTATTAATATATGGATGATATTCTATTTGCTGATCTAAAGTTAGACACATTAGAAAGCATGTTTGAAGAAGTAAAAAAATTTTTGCCTCATTGGGGACTGCAAATTGCTCCTGAAAAATACAGAGAGGAGATTCTATTAATTACTTAGGACATAAGATAGAGCTACAAAAAAGTATACCCCAAAAGGTACAACTAAGGAGAGATAGATTGAAGACTCTTAATGATTTTCAAAAGTTATTAGGAAGCATTTCCAACTTACTGGATATCATGGGAATTACCAAAGATGGACTACAAAATTTGACTAATACTCTAGAAGGGGACAAAGAATAAAACAGTCCAAGAGAATTATCAGCTGAGGCTGAGAAGGAATTGGCTCTAGTAGAAAAGACAGTTCGAGAAGCACATGTGGATCCAGAACTTTAAATGCATTCTTGTCATATTCCTCTCCAGACATTCCCCAACAGGTATACTGATGCAGAGGGAAGATATTATATTGGAATGGATATTCCTACTACATAATCCAAATAAGAAATTAAAGGCTTATTTAGAAAAGATCTGTGATTTGATTCAAAAAGTTAAATTAAGACTTTGCCAGTTGACAGGAATGGACCCAGCAGAAATTGTAGTACCTTTAACTAATGAGGAAATTTCATTACTATGGAAAGATAATGAATACTGGCAGAGAGCCTACAGTAATTTTTGGGAGAGATTAACAACCACTATCCCAAAAGCAAGAGAATAGAATTCATAAAGAAGACTGAATGGGTCCTTCCTCACATTGTACAAAAAAAGCCAATTTCTGGAGTCCTCACATTCTAAACGGTTGCAAATAAATCAGGGAAAGCAGGATATAAATCAGGAGACTTAAGTAAAGTGGTACAAAGTCCATACAGCTCTGTACAAAAGGCAGAACTGTATGCCGTTCTTATGGTACTGATGGACTTCACAGAACCCCTCAATATAGTCACTGACTCTCAATATGCAGAGAGAGTTGTTTTACATATTGAAACTGCTGAATTTATTCCTGATAATATGGAATTACCATCATTATTCATACAATTGCAGGTAGTCATCAGAAAAAGGGAACATCATATATATATATATATATATATATATATATATATATATATATATATCACATATCAGATCTCATACAGGTTTACCAGGACCTCTAGCACAAGGTAATGATGAGATTGATCAGTTACTAATGGGTAATGTGCTAGAAGCTTCAGAATTTCATAAGAAATACCACCTAAATAGCAAAGGTTTGAAGAAGGATTTCTCCATCACTTGGCAACAAGCTAAGGATATTGTGAAAAAGTGTCCTACTTGTTCCATCTATAACCAATCTCCATTACCTGCAGGGAGCAATCCAAAAGGTATACAAAGAAATGAAATTTGGCAGATGGATGTGTTTCATTTTGCAGAATTTGGAAGATTAAAGTATGGACATCATACCATTGACACCTATTCAGGATTTCAATGGGCAACTACTATGAGTTCCGAAAAGGCTTATTCTATGATTACACACCTATTAGAAGTTATTGCCATCATGGGAATACCTGTACAAATTAAGACAGACAATGCCCCAGCATATGTCTCCAATAAAATGAGACAATTCTTTGCTTATTACAATATAATGTATGTTGCAGGTATACCACACAATCCCATAGGCCAAGCAGTGATAGAAAGATCCAATCGAACTTTAAAGGATATGCTAAATAAACAGCAACAGGTAACAATGACTCCTAGAAATAGATTGCAAAGGCCTATATTAACCTTGAATTTTCTCAATGCTGATGAGAAAGGAATAATGGCTGCGGAGAGACATTGGACAACAGACAAAACTCCTGAGCTAAACCAACTGGTTTATTTCAAGGATGTGCTGACCTCAGAATGGAAACCTGGATATGTTCTACATTGGGGAATGGGTTTTGCTTTTGTCTCTGCAGGAGAAGAAAAGCTATGGATACCAGCAAAATTATTAAAAATTTGATTCAAAGAGGAAAAACCCCTTGATGAGGAGAAGTAAAAGATCATCCACCAATGTGACATCCCTACAAGTTGTAAGAAAAATTTAACAATCAAAGGTTGGGGTAGGGTTCTGTTTTTGTCTTCCAGGATAATGGAAATACCCATCTTCCAGAAATCATAAGGCCTTGGATATCCGGATGTTTACAGCAGAAAGAAAGAATCTATTGGTACCAATCTACACAGGATAAAATCTCACTGTCTAACATCTGTATCTCTATCAATCTAGAAAAGTTGTGGTTTTAATTCAATTATAAGCCAAACTGGCTTTGGAGATTCAATTGGCTGATCCCTTCTCCAAACCCAAGCATATTGCTAAAAGAAAAGGTTGAGAGATTCTTCAGTCCCATATCAGAAGAACCCTCTGGTGTGCAACAGAAGGAACCAATAAAAAGGGACCATTGTCTTCAAGATTCTAATTCTCTCCATGCTTATTCTTGATTTCTCAGAATCCTTTCTTGCATGTTATGTCCTCTTTAAATCCAAACTTTCCATTTTGATAACAAATAATTTTTTCCAATTGTAATCTCTGAATTCTCCAGAAAGAAGATGGGGCCCCAACAACAACAACTCTACCCAATCCAGAATGATGCCATGATAATCATCATCATACTATACTTCCTTCCAGAATTTCAGATAATCTTGCCCATTATGCTAAGACTTGCTGCAGGACCTACAGTTAGTCTAACTGAGATTTAACTATCTGAGCTTTCTCACAGTACCCAACAGAGATACCATCACCACCTAAACAGCAGGAAGCAATTCTAAGAAAACGATCCCTAAGGTTTCATATTTCTCTGGGTTATGAATGATGGTTATAGGGTTGGGGTGGAAAAAAATGTTAGCCTCAGTATTCTCCTAAAAAAAGGGAAAAGAAGAAATGGAATGGATGTGTATATGATATTATTGTAGATTATTGTATATACTAGTAAACAAATTTAGTAAAATAGCAGCCTTAGACAATTTGCATTGTAATTTGCACTGTTATAGATCCTTATATGTTGATACAAATGTAAACTTTTATATTCCTGTTTAAGATAATTTATATATTGGTACAAATACAGAACTATATTTGTTATAATGTACATATATTTCTTCTCTTATTTGAAATATTTGTATATTGATGTAAATGTAAATTTATGTCTGTCATACTTTATGTATGTTCTACTTCTGTTTAGGATATTCTGTATATTGATATATATTTAAGATTATTGTCATATTGCACTATACATTTTTACCTCTGTTATAAATATCTTGTGTATTGTCACAATTTTGAAGTCATCGTCCTTTACCATATATTTGCTTATAGACTGTTTACATTGTTTCCATGAAGCCTTAGTCCTTAGCTTATATGGGTAGATAAGACATAGATTTATAGTCACCTATACTTGTCATCTCTATAGTTATGTTAGTTAGGTTATCCAGATTTACTGATACATAAGTCAGATGGACTGGTAATCTTCAAGCAATTCATAGACCTAGGGAATATGGTTTAAATAACTTAGAATTCTGTTGATGAGAGACACAATTGCTCCTGGCAGCACCAATTTGATCCCAAGAGAATGTTGGGCTTCTAAGACATTTCCATTTGGAAGTTTGTCTTCTTGGCACAAAATGGCCTACTAGGCAAAGAACTGCCCTTGCCTCGACGGCTGACAGTACGAATGCAATGCTGTCCCTGGACAAACGGGTCACAAAGAAAATAATCACTGTATTCTGTCAAGACAGGGTAAGATGGTCTTTCAGAATTCCTGCTTCTGAAAATGGTCTGTCAAATACTCTAGGCCTGTAGCCAATTTGAATGCACAACAATGCTGAGAAACATTAGGTGACTATTCAGGTTGCCAGCTGTCTCAGTCTACTCTTGCAAGATTCCCAAAAGTTGTTTGCATCCATCTAGCATTTCTCAGGTACCATTATATTCTTTCTCAGGTCGTTGATGGGATTGAAGACTAGTAGTTATAGTTACAACTTAGTATATATAATATCTTAGATAGAACATATTAAATATTAGATTCAGGTTCTTTAGTATAGGACACCCTTTGGAATGATCTTTGTAACATACCATTTACCTATGCTCTAGACTTCTCTGGATTTTAGTATGTGTTTCTTGCTTGATATTGTTCGCATTGATTATAGTTCCATCTTATCTAGGTCATTATCCCTCATTACTCCTGGACAACATTTGATAACCATTCCTTTGTATATAGTCTTGTATTAAGTTAGAATCTTCTTATTTAGACAAAAAGGAGATGTAGTGGGTAGACATTCCAGCTTTGGTCTGGAAGTTCCAACCCCCATTGAGGTTTTGGTAACTATCATGCCTACAAGGTGGGGCCAAGGGAGGACTCTGAAGACCCAAGATTGAGATGTGCCATGCTCCCTTGCTCCTGGAAGCGTGGACACTAGAGGTAGAAGGAGAAGAGTTCTCCAGAGAACACCACTTGACTACGCTGCATCTTTCCCAGAACCCTCAACCTACCTATCCCTTCATTTGTAAGTTATGTCATTAAATAAATCTCCTTTAAACTACATGGAGTGGCCTTAATAATTTCACCAATAATATGTAACAGTTGTGCAGATATTATGTGAGTGCTTTCCTTGATGTAGATCCCTTTGGGCTATATATTCTGGCTGTCCTCTTCTGCCTCTTGAGTTATGATATTCCAGGTGTAGGCTAATATATCTGTTCTATGAACTTCTAATTAATGAAATGTATTAATCCACTTTGTTATCCATTTCTTATCTTTCAATCAATAAAGTGATTTTAATCAAGTTCCACATGTATTTCTTATTAATTTATAATGGGCTACAACATTGAGAAAATTAAAATCCCTGATGTGTTAGATGGCTAAGAAGAAAAGAGCATGTACTTTGGACCCACTTTAATTCCCAGCATCCATGATCTGTGGGCTCACACTTCTACTGCAGGGGTCTGACCCCCTCTTCTGGACCTTGTGGGCACCTACAGTGCCATGTGCATATACTGTATTCATCCACAGAATTAAAAGAGTGGGATACTGAGAATGATCTTGGCTATTTCAAAGGGTTCATTAAGCTGGTCAGGGTGAACTAAACATTTAATCCCAGTAGAAAAGATGCAGAGTTAGGAGGATTTATCTGAGTTTGAGTGTAGCTTAGTCTATAAATTGATTGAAGGGTAGCCAGAACTATGTAGATAGTCTTCAGTCTCAATAAAACAGTAGAAAGAATAAGGTACTGCATAGATTTTTAAAGTTGGAGTGTGAGACCTTGTTCTTGTCTCCAACAGCATGTCTTCAATCACTGATTAGAGACAGAGGTCACCAGCGTGTGGAGAGAGTACTTATGCATCATAACTCTCAGTGATCCAGTCTGTTATTGGGTTAAAGATTTGTATTAACACAGGAATGATTAACATAGGAATACTTATTCCACTGTTGAGAAAACATAGTTCCTCAGTAGACAGAACAACAGCTAGAGACAAAGGATGAGTATCCCAGTCATCCATTATGCAAAGGAAATCTTCAGTGAATTCTCCTAAAACTCATGGTGAAGACCGAGGGAGTTTGGAGTTACTCTGGTCCATTTCTCTCCTCTCAGGTTCACTGATACAGGAAGGTATCCTGGTAGGTTCACATCCCAGTATGCTTTCTTGTCTAACATTGCCTGATTTTTCCCCATTGTTTCCTTTTTTCCCAGGACCCTTTTTTCCTTAATTGCTTCAGGTTCCCCTTTTGCTTGCTTTTTCCCGGTTTTTTTCGGGGGCCTCCATTGCACCAGTTTTCCAATTGCTTTAGGGGCCCTTTGTGACCTTTTTTTTTTTATTACTTCAAGTTCTTCCGTTTTTCCCGGGCCCCCAATGGTTGCCATTTTTCCATTGGCTTCCGGCCCTTGAATGGTCAAAGTTTCCCCAGTTTTCCCAGGAGCACACGAGAAACACACATTTCATGTGCAAGTATGTCCCATACTTTTCCCAGGTTCCTAAACACTGTTAAGTTCCCAGTTGTCCCAAGTCTACCAATGTCCTCATGTTTCACAAACAGTTATGTCTGGTAGGCTTCCCTGGTCTTCTAATGTACACAGACTAACCCTTCCTCTGGCAAGTTTGTCCCAAGACTCTAATGTAACAATGTGTACACCAAGGAACAAACCTTGTGCTGCAAGAATATTTTGATATTCAGTGTGTGTATCCTTGCCTAAAGCAATGCAAGGTATTGGCCTGTAGCATGCTCATGAATGACAGTTCCAGGTCTGACCCTATTCTTTCCTTCTCTCCTCCAGCTGGAATAGCTGCTCTCCCATTCACCATCAGTACACATATCAGAATCTTATAGTGTTTGTGATACTTTATTGCTTGTGGCATCTTGAGACAGAGAATGCATATATATATATATATATATATATATATATATATATATATATATATATATATATATGCATCTGGGGCTGCTTCTTGCATTATGTGTAAAGTGGATTACTACTTTGGATTTACATTATTACCCACAGGGTCTCAGAGATGTAGACATATGGTTTCTAGGAAGTCCCTGGATCTTCAGCTCAGAGGATTTCAATGTTCACAATTCTGTTATCCTTTAACTCATGTTGTGTTTACCCTGCCAACCATAAAATTCTTTTCATTGCTACTTCATAACTGTAATTTCTCTACTATTTATGAATCATAAATTTAAACATCTGATATTTTCCATGGTCTTAGGCTACCCCTTTGAAAGGGTCATCAACTCCAAATGATGTCCTGACCCATGGCTTTAGAACCACTGTTTTAGAGGATGTTTCCATAGTCCTTTGGTGTCAAGTCTTACTCATCCTACTTTCCTACCTAATTTTTGGTATCAAGAGCCTGAAAACTCTTTGTGTGGGTGTGTGGCTGTAGCTAAGCTATCTATCCAGGATTTTTCCGTGTGGCCCATTTGGGGGCACTCAGACTTCTCCTTTCTCCTTCTAGATCTGGATTAAGAACCATGATGGTAAGCACATAGGGGACAATGGTCATGGTGTTCCAGAAGAGGGCCTATGACAGGTGCAAGCTGAAAGTGTTTTCTAAGTCAACCCATTTTCTTGATTGCTTAACTGTTCTTGTCTTTGTCAAAGCAGATTCCAAATCTCTAGGCACCTCCTGAGTGGGCTCCAGTTCTAAACTCAGCCCCATTCTAGAAGTTCCTCACCATGATGATCAGGTGATGATCAGCCCCTATGTGTGCTGTGTGGAGTACCTAAGGACACCTCCTGTGTGGCCTAACCCCAGCTGTAGCTGCTGACCCATGTCAAAGCCAGCACTCAAAGGAGAGACTGGGCCATTAAAAGCTGAAGATTCAGCCTCAGCTGAAGCTCAAATTCCCACCTCAGCTGATCCTGAATCCCAAAGAATGCCAAATGAATCCCAAGACTCAGGTCCATCTACTGAGGGCTCTGGCCAAGAGTTCTTCATGACATGGTTACTCTTCTAGACCTCCTGTTAAGTCCTGACCCCACCCTGCACATCTTACCCCTGTACCAAGGATCTTGCTCATAGCAAGAAATCAGTGTATAGCAAAAAGATGCCACATAGATTCATTCTCCTGGTGGGCTGCAATCATAGAGACATGTCTTGGGGAAAAGCAATCATATCAATACAGTAAGCCAGAGAGGTCTTGGCATGGCTAGGTTTAGACTTTGTATTATCACCAAGTCTAAAGAATTATCTTAACCATTTCTGAGGGAGATCCCCTCACTCTGTCATCCACCTCTAAGCTCCCATCACTTCTCAATAGTGACTCCTCAACACCCAAGTTTCCAAAACCCAGACAACTAGAGACCTTCCAGGCATAGCCCAAAAGCTTTACCTCAATGCCTCATTTACATTCCTAGGGCTACTGTGATGTGTTCTCAACAGTCACAGTGTCTTCACTGTTCCTGGTCTATGGCTTTCTGTACATGTCCCAGCCTCCATTGCACACTTAGATTCTGCACCATTATCTGTAGAACTTACTGAATCTAGTTTAGAGAGAAGATAAGAGTTACAACATGGTCAGAGCAGTAGGATGCATGAATTCCAGGAATATAACATTTGATTGAAAGCAGGGGGTAAATGATCTACAGAGAATTATTAGAGAAAGTGTATTGCACAAAACAAAACAGAGTTAAGCCACTTAACGAGATTAAAAGCTGTGCTCAGGTGATGGTTCAGTGGAAAGCATTTGCCTTGCATGAGTTTGAATCCTCAGGAAGGACTCAAAGATGGTGATGCAGTCTCTATCTCTTACCTTAGCTCTCCTTCTATGACATGGGAGTGGAGACAGGAGAATGCTTAGAAGCTTGTGATCAGCTAATCTGGCACACGCAGTGCTGAACAAGAAGAAAGAGACTCTGTCTCAAACAAGGTAGAAATTAAGGCTCAACACCTGATGTTGTAGTTTGTCTTCCACACTCAAGCTTTGGCACAAGAACAGCCACATTCACACATTTGTAACCAGGCCAGCAGAAACACACACACACCTATGCACATCCAAAGAAAAGCTAAAAGACAAGCTGGATATGGTGGCATGCTTCTGCAATACTAAAACTCGGGAGGTAGAGAAAAGAGAAGACCAGAGGTTCAATGTCATTTTCCAGTACACAGAGAATTTGTGGCCACCATGGCATAAAACAGATCCTGTCTGGAAGGAAACAAAAAGCCAGGACCATGTAGGTTTGATCACTAAAAATAAGCCAATGACATATACATAGCTTATAATTAACAGTGGTTCTGCCTTTGAAGTTGTTTTTAAAAGATATCTGTTTATCTGGAGGCAGAGAAGTATGTCAACGAGGCTGCCTCAGTCTTGGCATGTAGTCAAGGTTGGTCTTGAACTATTGATCCACTTGAATAGATCCCATGAATGTTGTGATTTCAGGCTTGCACCATGATAATCAGCATGGATATTTATTATTTTGTTACATTTTAATTGATGTGTATCAAGTGATGAGTTCTATTGGCTGTATCCAACAACAACTAACCACAAGATCTGAGTGTTAACAGGGAGTAATGTTCAATAAGCAGACAAGTAAGTACCTGCCTCCTGGTGAAGTGTGCTATGAAGATAGAATGAATCAATAACAGAGATGGGAAGAATTGTATTTTGTACGATGTTGGAAAGAATGATTCCCATCCATACAAAAATCTCTTGAGTAAAATCTAAGGATGGTACAAATAAAGGTTTTATGATATTGTTAATAATCACATCAATGAACAGAGTGAGGGGAATAAGTCATCTGGTAGAGAGAAAGGTGGAGAAGATGAGAAGAAGTGGGAAAGGAGAGAGAGACAGAGAGAGACAGAGAGAGACAGACAGAGAGACAGACAGAAAGAGACACACACAGAGAATGTTATATATGGGCAATCAGATAATATGCAAGGCCCTAGAAACTTGTAGCTACTAAAATTATTTTAAAAGATTTATTTTTTTACTTTTGTATATGCTTGTGTATTTTAATAGGAGTATGAGTCTCTCTCTCTCTCTCTCTCTCTCTCTCTCTCTCTCTCTCTCTCTGTGTGTGTGTGTGTGTGTGTTTGTGTGTGTGTGCCCAGTGAGATTTGAAGAGTGGGAATTCCATGGCTAGAGCCATGGAAAATTGTGAGTTACTTAATGTGAGTGCTGGGAAACAAATACCACACTTCTGAAAATCTTCAAGTACTTTTGACACTGAATTATCTATCAATCCCCTAATGACATAATTTTGAAGAGTAAGTTATAGAAACAGCTTTATTGCACAAGGAAATGTAGAAACTAGCAAAAATTATCTATACACAAATAAATTCTAAATGAAATAAATAAAGATACAAAATCGAATGGTGGCATTATGAGATAAAAATGGGTAAAAAAAAGTGTTATCATATAAACCTGATGACCAAACAGTCTCTGTAACCCACATAAATTACATATAGACAACTGACTCCACAGCATTGTTCTCACAAATGTTCTTTGAGATGTGTGTACCCACACAGCCACTCATGCTCACATACACACCAGGTCATAATAAATAAGATGTTTTACAGGAAAAACCACAGTGTGAAGGCAAGGTGGAGGACATGGGACAATCTTATATGAACAAAGATTACTTAATAAGAAGATAGGAGTGGAATATCTCTCACCAAGATATCTGTCACCCTATGCAAAGATGAACTCTAAGGCTCATACGTATAAAAACCCTTTTAAATCATCATTTTCTATAGTTAGGAAAAGAGATGTTATGTTTAGTATCTTTTAGTGTTAACTTAGCACAACCTATAACCACATTGGAAAAGATTTCCAATGAGGAATCATCTAGATTACATTGGCTCTGGGCATGCCTTTGAAAAGGTGTCCTGATAGTTCATTGATAATTTAGAACAATGTAGGCAGCATCGCTCCCTACTCATGGGAGTCCAGAAAATTATAAGGGAAGAGAAAGCTAGTTGCAGGCAAGAAAGCAAGAGTAAACATATTGTCTGTCTGATATTGACTATGATTACAGTGATTTAACTTCCTACGAAGACTTCTTATAAATAAAAAACTGTACTCTGTAGCTGTAATCAAAACAAACCCTTTCCTCTCTAAGTTGCTTTTTGTTAGAATGGATGCACATTCAGATACAGGCAGAATTTAGAATCCCACATAGATAAGACCAGAAAAGAACCACCTCTCAAAATACTGTTTTTAAACAAAGAAAATACATTAAAATTGGAAAGAGAGAAACACCAAGTCAAATGTAAAGGAAGTTCTGTCAGAATAAGAGATTTTTAGCTAAGACTTTGAAAAGCAGAAGGGACTGGAAAGCCTTATTTCAAGTTCTAAAAGACAACCAATGACAATTCAGACTACTGTACCCATCAAAGCTACTTGTCATAACTCAAGGAGAAATAAAAGTTTATATGCTAAAAATATGTGAAATGAATTTATGACCACCAACACAGCTCTACAAAATGTATTTATAGGAGTTGTGTATACTGAAGAGGAAAATAGATGTATCCTTAAGACTGCAACAAGTGTAAGTTAGCTTCCCTAGTCAACTTGACACAATCTAGAATTATCTGAGGAAGCCACAGTTAAGATATTGTCCCCATCAGATTGACAAGTTACCAGGTGTTTTAGCTGTTGTCTTCATTGATGATCAATGTATTCAGGCACACAGCAAATGTAGCTGGGTTTGGCTTATATGAGAAAGCTAACTGAGCATGAAACACTGAGGAGGTTAACAAGCAGATTAGTAAAATGATTTCTGCTTCACTTCCATCTGGAGATACTTCCCTGACTTCTCCCATTGATAAATTCCAACCTGAAAAGTGTAAGCCAGATAAATACTTTCTTCCCCTACATTGCTTCTAGCAAGAATGTTTTATCACAGAAACCATAAAGCAAACCAGAACAACAGCTAAGCAAGTAGTAAAAGAAAAACAGCTCCAGCACATTGGCAAAATCATCAAAATTACAATAATCAATAGGTACCTTTCAGTAGTATCTTACACTTAATGGTGTCAATTCCTTAATCAAAAGACACAGGTTGGGAGACTAGAATAAAAAGTAGAAAGTTTTTTTGTTGTACTCCATTATAAAAGAGAGTTGTAACCTTATAGTGAATTGATGAAAAAAGGTGTTCTAGGCAAATGGAGCTTGAAAACAAGCTAATCTTGCTGATGCAATCTGACAAAATAGACTTATAATCAAATCTAATGAGAAATTATAAATATCACTTTCTACTGATAAATGGAAAAATTCATGGAGAGAATTGTACAATTCTACACAAATATGAACACATTTCTACACAGAAAATACTACTAGATGTAAAGCCATAGGCTATCACCAGGTGTTATTGCAGTTTCATTCCCAACTATTAACCCTTCATTCCAATAGAAAGTAGACAGAATTAAATGAAATCAAATGTAAAATGGCCTGAAAAGGCAACTATAGAATATTGTATCCAAACACTGCAGAATATAAATTGTTCTCAGCAGCCCATGTAACTTTCTTTAAAATAGATCCTATATTAGGACACAAAGAATGTCTGAGGAAATATGGGGAAACTGAAATATTTTCTTATGTTGTACCTGACAACAATAAAATGACTACAAATAAACAAGAGAAAATCTAAAAGGTAAACAAACTCAAGGAGATTAAACAACTCACAACTTAATTATGAATAATTTCTTGAAGAAATCAAGAGTAGAAAGTCTCCTATAATAAAATGAAATTAAAAAAAATATACTTTAATCTGTGAGATGCAATGTAAATAGTCCTAAGAGAGATGTTTCAAGGTCAATACACCTACATTAAGAAATCAAAGAAATTTCTAATTATTTAGTTAATGGTTCACCTTAGGGCTCAGGAAAAAGAAGGAGTTAAACACCAAAATCAGGAGCTGGAAAGAAAGCACTGACATTAACAAAATTAGTGAAATGAAAACAGCTTAACAATAAACAAACCACAGAGTCAGTGAAATAGATTTGATTCTTTCACAATATAAACAATGTTGTCAAACTTTAGATAAACTAACCAAAAGGAAGAATGAATGCCAAAGCTCATTCAGTAAGACATGAAAATGGAGTCATTATGACAAGCTCCAGTGAAATTCACAAAATTATTAGAATTTACCTTAATAACATCCCACTAAACTGGAAAATCTAAAATATATGGATGAATTTCTACATAGAGTAAAAACTAGCAAAATTAAACTAAAATGGCATTTTAAACAATTAATCAATTGTGCATGGGGATAAAGCTCAGCACTTAAAAACATTCACTGTTATGTAGAGAACTAGGATTCATTTTCTAGTACCTACATTGACAACTCACAATGCCTCCTTCCAGCCTCTTTGGGCACCAGACACATATGCAACAAACACATACATGCAAGAAAGACACTTCTACACATAAAATAAATGAACCTTAAAAATAGTCAGAACTGGCCCTGCCCCCACCTCTGGGGTGGAGGACAGCATAGCAAAGACCAGTGCTGAATAACTCAACCAACACTGAGGCTCAAATCTAGGGCTTCGAGTTGGTTCACCCCAACATTTACCCTATCTATGAGCTTCTGGAGAAGGTGAAAAGGGCCAGTCCTGCAGAAGCGTAGCCACAGGATCTCTATGGCTCTGAGCAACAGTAGGATATCCAAGAAATGTCTGGGTGAGGTTCCAGATTGATGGTGAAATAGAATCCAGAGCCCCTGAAGCAGACCAACAGCTCACTGCAATGAACATTAACAAATAAAGCTGTTTTGGAAAAGGGAATACTGCATGACACACCCCAGCGCCCTAGGCCATTATGATGAACAAATAAGTAATGGAGAGGTGGGAAAAATGGAGTAGCAAAGTGGTATAAGTATGCTGTAACTGCAGACATGACATCTTTGACTGGTATGAGAGAAGACTGCCATTGATAGATGGTTTGATCTTTGGTTTATTTGTTTTTTTTCTTTTCTTTATAAAATAAATTTATTTTTATTTTTGTATTTTTTTACATTCTAGCCATTGTCCCCCCCACACACACACACTTATTGTCCTCCCAGGACCTTCCCCTAGCCTCCCTCTGTTCCCACTGCTCAAACTACTCCATTTCTGTTTAGGAAAGGGCAGGTGTCCCATGAGTATCAGTAAATCATGGCCTAGGAAGTTTCAGTAAGACTAAGCAATTCCCCATGTATTAAAGCCGGACAAGCTGACCCAGTATGAGGGGTTGGGTCCCAAAAGCTAGTAAAAGAGTTGGAGTCAGCCCCTTTTTCCACTGTTGGGAGTCCTACAAAAGCACCAACCTACAAATCTATAACACATACACAGAGGGCCTAGGACAGTCCCATGTAGGCAACCTGGTTTATTGGCAGTTCAGACTCTGTGAGACCCTGTAAGCCCAGGTTGATTCTGTGAGTTTTATTGTGGTGTCCTTGACCCCTGTGGCTCCTCCAATCCTTTCTTCCCATCTTCTGCAGGATTCTCTGAACTCCACTTGTAGAGTCTGCATGTGTTTCCATCAGTTGCTGATTGAAGCTTCCTCATGACAATTGGGTTAGGCACCAATCTGGTCACAAGAAATGGCCAGTTCAGACAACATACCTGTTATTTCTAGGTGTCTAAAGAATCTTCCTTATAGATTATTTGGCGATTTCCTTGTGCCAACTTTTTACCTAACCCTGACAAAATCCCCTCTTCCAGTTGTCTCTTTCAGTACTCTCCCCGACTATCCCACCTCAAAGTGATGACTCCTGTTCCCAACCCCATTTGCCCTCAGCTTGTAGCTGGAGTTTTCTCTCTGGGTCCTGCCAAGCCCCAGCAGTCTGACAGCTCACTTAAAAAACAAACACACAGATGCTTATACGATTTACAAACTGTATGGCTGTGGCAGGCTTCCTGTTATCTACTTCTTCTATCTTAAATTAACCCATTTCTATTAATCTATACTTTGCCACGTGGCTTGCGGCTTACTGGACCCTTACATCTCGCTTGTCATGGCGGTGGCTGGCTGTCTATCTTCCTCAGCCTTCCACTTCTCAGAATTCTCTTCTCTGCTTGTCCTGACTATACTTCCTGCCTGGCTACTGGGCAATCAATATTTTATTTATTAACCAATCAGAGCAACACATTTGACATACAGAACATCTCACAGCATCAGATCACTCACATATTTTCTTCTATTTCTCTACTACA